AAGACCTCTACTTTGTTGGTAGATGGCAGTGTTCTCCATATATCTTCCACATGTGTTCCAGCCATACATGTGTTTCCTAATCTCTTCTTAAAAGGATACCAATCATATTGGATAAGGGCCCACATATATAGCCTCATTTTGCCTTAATTACCTCTTTAAAGGCCCTATTTCTAAATATAGCCATATCATTAGGTACTGAGGGTAGGACATCAAGATAAGAATTGGGTGGGACAACACAATTCAACCCCTAACACCATCATTATTTATTCTGATGCCCAAATTGCCTAAAATTTGGTGTTATATTTCCCTAAGTGGGTCATGGGGTACACAGCTGTGGTCTTTATCATCACTCCCTCCTGATTCTTTCACACCTTTTTCTCTTTCTTCCTCTCCCTCCTGCAATGCAGGCCTAACAAAGCCTTTGCTATGCAGAATCAGTTCACAAATCTTTTTCCAGTGTGGAGGAGACTGGGTAGCTTTGAGGAAGTATACTTCATAACATTACAAATAGGTACTGTGATTCTTCTGCTAACCTACCTGGAGTTACTGTGTCCCATGGAAAGAGAAGTACTTTGAAAGTGGCTAATGGTTTGGCTGGATTCCAGATCATGGATGTAGAAAGAGTAAGATTACAGGATTGGTGCAAGGAAGTTTAGGGGAGAGGAATGTGAATTGAACTTTCAGAATAGACCTAGATTTGGGGAATATTTATGCCTTATATCAATGCTATCAAAAGGCCCTGTATTACTTGGACATCCATAATATACCATAAATTGGGTTGTTTAAACCCCATGTCTCTTCAGCACTATTCATTGGTGGACAGTTTCATAAGATATGACACATCCATGAAGGCACTACATACAGTATTGTCTTATCAAATAACTCACTTTATTATGAGACAAGTAATAGGCTAATTTGTATATGATTTGCTGGTCTTTTCATATACCTCACCAAACCTACAGAATGATGGAATGGCACATTGAACATTCAGTTATAGCACCAGCCAAGATAAAACACCTTTGAAGGTGGGGGTGCTGTTCTGTGGTTGTGGCAGAGTATGCTCTGAACCAGTCACTAATAAATGGTGCTGATTCCCCCATGACCAGGGTACACACATCTTGCTCTCTAGGCTTGTTCATTTGGTGAACTACAAAATAAATTCCTTTTCTGTTTAATTGAGCTATTTAATTTCTGTTGCTTACAACAGAAGTATCTAGACTAATATACAAACATCTACCTCCCCTCTTCTTGCCACTCTCTTTAGCAATTACCTGTCCTGCCTCATTCCTTTAGGCTTATCTCAATAATGCCTGCTCAGAACTGGTACTGTGATTTTAAAGGCTGATAGTACCATACTGTGTTATAGCTTGGAAGGCACAGTTCATAAATCTTTTCACCTCTAAGGCCTCCTTTTACCATTTTTCAACATACCCATATTTTGATGTCACAAACTTACATGTATTATCTATTTCCCCATTTAGTAATAAGTGACATTTTCTGATCAGCAGAGCATGCAGTGTTAACAGCATTAAGGTTTGGTTAAAAGCAAAAAACACTGATGTCTTTGCCTGTGCATTATAGTGTTACTAAGGGTGAAAGTATACGGTAGGTTCTTCAAATTATTTAAAATATGTAAAATGTCATACTTTTGTGGACACACAAAAACTGACTCTAAGAGATATATAACCCAAAACCAACCTTTATAGAGACCACTCTTCTGTCCAAAAGTGGTCACTTCTCCACAGTAAAATAGTGAGCAAAATACTCTGGGTTCTTTTTATTCAAGAGTATTTTTTTTAAAAAAAGCTTCCTTGGGTTTAAAAAATAGTTTAAAAAAATAGGAGACTCTAGAAATTTACCCTAAGAATGCAGCACTCCAGTTTGAAAAAGACAGATGCACCCTTATGTTTATCGCAGCACTATTTATAATAGCCAATAAATGGAAGCAACCTAAGTGTCTATCAGTAGATGAATGGATAAAGAAGATGTGGTACATATACACAATGGAATATTATTCAGCCATAAGAAGAAAACAAATCCTACAATTTGCAACAACAAGGATGGAGCTAGAGCATATTATGCTCAGTAAAATAAGCCAGGCAGAGAAAGACAAGTACCAGATGATTTCACTCATCTGTGGAGTATAAGAACAAAGAAAAAAATGAAGGAACAAAACAGCAGCAGAATCACAGAACCCAAGAATGGACTAACAGTTACCAAAGGGAAAGAGACTGGAGAGGATGGGTGGGAAGGGAGGGATAAGGGGGATTGGGGGGGAAGAACAGGGGCATTATAATGTATAATGTATAATGGGGGGAGGGCACAGGGAGGGCTGTGCAACACAGAGAAGACAAGTAATGATTCTACAGCATTTTACCAGGCTGATGGACAGTGACTGTAATGGGGTTTGTTGGGGGGACTTGGTGATGGGGGAAGTCTAGTAAACATAATGTTCCTCATGTAATTGTAGATTAGTGATACCAAAATAAAAAAAATATAGGAGAGAGTATTTCTCTGGCCTGTTTTTAATCCATTGCAGCCTGGAACATTCCCAGTCTCAACAGAAAGGGATATAGAAGAAATATATCGGTTATTTATTATCATGAAGGCAGAAAGGAAGGAGAAGCATAGGTAGCATTCATTTCTTTTTGCCCTTTAAATGTTTGGAATTCTTGTACTGTGTGTGTATGTTTAGTTAGTTGGAAGGGCACCAACATTTCATTGAGTTTACAGGACCTTTTCACTTGGATTCACTGTCCCTCCCTCTCCTCACCATATGTCTGAGTATGTTTAATGTCCAGAGTAACTTCAGAATGTGAAGGCTGAGTCAGATAAATGAGTTCCAAGTTACTAATGGCTCACTTCCTAATCTGGACACTGAGTATGTAATAGTTGATGGTAATGAATATGACAGTTTTAACTGCTTAACAATAAGGAGGTGGGCCAGTGTACTGGACCAGTGAATATCAGATGAGCTTGTTAGCATTCCCTCTGAAAGAGGGAATGCAGCCTATCACTTTTAATTCTCATAACAAGTAAAAGCCAGACTAACAATAAATGCATGTGCCTACAGAATTCTCAGAAACTTGGAGCAGTGATTTTGGTGAATAAAAACCAAAGGAGAGCCTTGTGTTAATTCTGTCCTATCACACTACTGTTGGTGTTCTTTCAAAATCACTCTGAAATGCTACAGACTAGCTTCCAGAAAAAATAAAATAATGTCTTGATGGCAAAGTCCTTTCTCAAAGCCTACACACTTTCTGACTTTTTAGTATGAAGATTTTCAAAGTCACCAAAAGTTGAATCAAAGAGAACCTATGTATCTTCCACTTTAAAGTGAGCAATTATTAACACTTTGCTGCATTTTCTCTACCTACTTGCTTATCTACATTTATTTTAGGAATTTAAAAATAAGTTGCAGGTAAGCACTATTTACAATAGCCAAGAAATGGAAGCAACCTATGTGTCCATCAGTAGATGAATGAATAAAGATGATGTGGTACATATACACAATGGAATATTATTCAGCCATAAGAAGAAAACAAATCCTACAATTTGCAACAACATGGATGGAGGTAGATACTATGCTCAGTAAAATAAGCCAGGTGGATAAAGACAAGTATTAAATGATTTCACTCATCTGTGGAGTATAAGAACAAAGAAAAAACTGAAGGAACAAAACAGTAGCAGAATCACAGAACCCAAGAATGGACTAACAGTTACCAAAGGGAAAGGGACTGAGGAGGATGGGTGGGAAGGTAGGGATAAGGGGGAAAAAGGGGCATTACGATTAGCACACATAATGAAGTGGGGGTGAGGGGGACACAGGAAAGGCAGTATATATAGAGAAGACAAGTAATGATTCTATAGCATCTTACTTCACTGATGGACAGTGATTGTAATGGGGTATGTTGGGGCGGACTTGATAACAGGGGGAGTCTAGTAACCATAATGTTGTTCAAGTAATTGTACATTAATGATATCAAAAATAATAAGTTGCAGGTATCATGACATTTCATCTATAAATATGCCAACATACATCTCTTGGAATAAGGATATGACTAAAGTAACTTTTCAATAATAGTAATACTAATCTTCTAAAACAAGGGTCAGCAAACTATGGCATTCAGGCCAAATCCTGCCAGCTACCTGATTTCAAAAATTATAAATTAAGGTTTTACTGGAACACAGCCATAGCTATGCCCATTCATTTACTTACTGTCTGGCTGCTTTTGTGCTACAACAGCAGAGTTGACTAGTTGCCACAGAGACCATATGGCCTAAAAGGCCTAAAATACTTACTATTTGGCTCTCTAAAAAGCTTGCCAACTCCTGCTTTAATAAATACAAGTGTGGAAAAATTTACAAAATCATGAGCCAGAAGATTTGACTATCATTTTTGTATGGCAAGTGTTCCTTCCCCTAGTGTATATAGGTTTGGTGATGTTGCAAATTTTAGTTGTAGGCAGGTGACTGTGGTGGGGAGGTTGGAGTGGTAGTAGTGATTGAGAAAGAGAACTAATAGCTACAGCACACTTACTCATACAGGGCCCTGTGCCTGGTGCTTTTTACACCATTATGTTTATTATGATCCTCACAACAATACTATAAGGTAAACATCATTCTAGTTTTCTGATGAGGAAACTGAGGCTTAGAGAGGTTGGGAAATTTGCCCAAAGTCATCCAGATATTAAATAAAAAAGCCAAGATCCCAAGTCTGTCTCCAAAGAGATACAGCAAAATCAGATAAGATTCCCAAAGGAGAATTTGCAAGCATTTTATGGTCATGATTCATACACAAAATATGCACTTTGATTGCCACTGGTTTCCAACACAAAACGATGGTAAGATCCCTGGGAGAAAGAAAGCAAAGCCTTTCTTTAAAATATAGTGATATATATAGTAAGGCCCAGAAACTTGGTGTCATATAATGAAAAGCACCTCAGGAAAGCCATGTCAAGTGTTTTAATCATTTACTATCTAAACTGGGGAGTAATGCTGTGCTCACTTGGACAGCACATATACTAAAATTGGAAAGATACAGAAATTAGCATGGCCCCTGCACAAGGATAACACGTAAAATCATGAAGTGTTCCATATTTTTAAAAAATAAAATAAAATGAGGGTACTATCTATCCTGATTACTTTTGAGGCAAAGTGAATATTAAAAAGCTTTGGGACAACACCTCCTGTCTCTCCTTTAAGAGTCTCAATCAGGAGATCGATTCAAGATGGCAGTGTGAGAGATGAGACAGAGAACTCCTCCCAAAACCACACATTGTATGGAAATATAGTTAATACAACTAACCCTAAAATAGTAACAGGAAAGAAGGCTGCACTAGACTGCATACACCTGGAGAACAGAGCAGACCTCACAAAACAGGGTAATGTAACAAAGCCTTGATCCAGCGGGACCCAAGCCCTTTCCCCACCCCAGCTCACTGGCCGGAGGAAAAGAAATGGAGCGGGGAGTGGGTGGAAGCCTGGGACTGAACACCCAGCCCTGAAGATCTGCTTTGGAGCACAAACCTACACTGTGTGGTGCTCTGGAGGTTGGTGGGATTAGGGAGCTGGGACAGGCAGAGTGCTTGAGAGACTGAGATTCCAGCCATTTGTGGAGGACAGGGGATCCACATCTGGCCACTCTGGGGCAAAGGAAAGGTAAGCAGTCTGAGAGGCTTCCTAGCAGCTAGAGGCGGGGTTAGCACAGAGCTTGCTGTGTGGGAAAAGGGATAGGTGGACAAGGTTGTCTGGGTGCGCTCTGCCCAGCAGGTTGGGAACTTTGAGGAGCTTCAGGAGCTCCATTCCCCTGGCTGAATACTCAGCTCCGAGGCCCCCCACTGTGACACGCAGCCTGCTGAGCCTTCTTCCTGGCCTTCCGGCATGGGCTTGCAAACCAGCAGTCACTGCGCTGGCATCAGGCCAGCCAGAGGGAGGCCCTGACTACATTAGCTAGAGATGCAAAGCACAGAGGCTTACACCTGTGTGATCAGCCCACTGTCTCTGCCACTGGAGACAGGCACTGCAGCCAGAAAGCAGGAAACAGCTGTTTCTTCTCACCAGACACCAGCGCCACTCCCTTGTGGTCCCCAACCACACTCCAGGGGCTGAGGAGCTACAGAGACTAGAGCTTCTGGGCACAAGAGGGCACCACATAGAAATATGAAATGTCAAGGGGACCTGGTCCAGAACAAAATCTCACAAACCACAGAAAAAGGGCCAAATGAAACTGAACTCACCAATCATCCTGAAAGAGAGTTCAAAATAAAAATCATAAACATGCTCATGGAGGTACAGAAAAATATTCAAGACCTCAGGAATGAATTTAAGATGTAGATTCAATCATTAAGAAATTACATGTCTGAAATGAAACATACAATGGAGGGATTTTAAAGCAGATTACATATAGTAGAAGAGACAGTAAATGGAATATAAATTATAGAAGAGGAATACAAAGAAGCTGAGGCACAGAGAGAAAAAAGCAGCTCTAAGAATGAAAGAATATTGAGAGAACTGTGTGACCAATCAAAAGGGAACAATATTCGCATTATAGGGGCACCAGAAGAAGAAGAAGAGAGAAAAGGGATAGAAAGTGTCATTGAGGAGGTAGTTGCTGAAAACTTCCCCAATCTGGGAAAGGAGATAGTCTTTTAGGCCACGGAGGTACACAGATCTCCCAACACAAGGGACCCAAGGAAGACAACATCAAGACATATAATAATTAAAATGGCAAAGATCAAGGATAAAGACAGACAGACTTTTGAAAGCAGCTAGAGAGAGAAAAAAGATAACATACACAGAAAAACCTATCAGGCTACCATCAGATTTCTCAACAGAAACCTTACAGGCCAAAAGGGAGTAGCATGATATATTTAATGCAATGAAAAAGAAGAGCCTTGAATCAAGAATACTCTACCCGGCAAGGTTATCATTTAAATTTGAAGGAAGAATTAAACAATTTTCAAATAAGCAAAAGCGGAGATAATTTACCTCCCACAAACCACCTCTACAGGACGTTTCGGGAGGAATGTTACAGATGGATGTGTTTGTAAGGTTAAATAGCTGTCGCCAGAGGAAAGAAAAAGGGATAGACAAAGATTACAGAATATGATACCAAACACATAAAGAACGTAGGAGGAAAAAAAAAAGAACCTTTGTAATAGCATATTGAGTTAATTCAGACTGTTAGATAGTAAGATAATTACTCTTGAGCCTTTAGTAACCACGAATCTAAAGCCTGCTATGGCAATAAGTACATACCTATCAATAATCATCCTAAATGTAAATGGTCTGCATGCACCAATCAAAAGACATAGAGTCACTGAATGGATAAGAAAACAAGACCCATTTATATGCTGCCTATAGAGACTAACTTCAAACCCAAAGACATACACAGACTGAAAGTAAAGGGATGGAAAAAGATATTTCATGCAACTAATAGGGAGAAAAAAAGCAGGAGTTCCAGTACTTGTATCAGACAAAATAGACTTCAAAACAAAGAAAGTAACAAGAGACAAATAAGGACATTACATAATGATAAAGGGGTCAGTCCAACAAGAGGATATAACTATTATAAATACCTATGCACCCAACACAGATCACCTACATATGCGAAACAAATACTAACAGAATTAAAGGGGGAAATAGAATGCAATGCATTCATTTTAGGAAACTTCAACACACCACTCACTCCAAAGGACCGATCCACCAGACAGAAAATAAGTAAAGAGACAGAGGCACTGAACAAAATAATAGAACAGTTGGACCAAATGGACATCTACAGAACACTCCATCCAAGAGCAACTGGATACACCTTTTACCTAAGTGCACATGGAACATTTTCAAGAATAGATCATATACTAAACCACAAAAAGAGCCTCAGTAAATTCAATCAGATTGAAATTGTACCAACTAGCTTCTCAAATCACAAAGGTATGAAACTAGAAATAAATTACAGAAAGAAAATGACAAAGCCCAGAAAGACATGAAGGGTTAATAACATGCTACTAAATAATCAATGGATCAATGACCAACTAAAAACAGATATCAAGCAATATATGGAGACAAATGACAACAATAATTCAACACCAGAAAATCTGTGGGACACAGTGAAGGCTGTGCTAAGAGGGAAGTATATTGCAATACAGGCTTACCTCATGAAAAAACAACAATCCCAAATGAATAGTCTAAACTCAGAATTAATGAAACTAGTAAAGGAAGAACAAATGAGGCCCAAAGTCAGTACAAGGAGGAACATAATAAAGATTAAACCATAAATAAATAAAATTGAGAAGAATAAAACAATAGAAAGAATCAATGAAAGCAGAAACTGGTTCTTTGAGAAAATAAACAAAATAGATAAACCCCTTCTCAGACTTATCAAGAAAAAAAAGACAGCCTACACACATACACAGATTCAGAAATGAGAAAGGAAAACACTATGGAACCACAGAAATACAAAGAATTATTAGAGAATACTATGAAAAATTATACGCTAACAAACTGGATAACCTAGAAGAAATGGACAACTTCCTAGAAAAACACAACCTTCCAAGGCTGACCCAGGAAGAAACAGGAAATCTGAATAGACCAATTACCAGCAAGGAAATTGAATTGGTAATCAAAACACTACCTAAGAATAAAACTCCTGGACCAGATGGTTTCACTCCTGAATTTTATCAAACATTTAGTGAAGACCTAATACCCATCCTCCTCAAAGTTTTCCAAAAAGTAGAAGAGGAGGGAATACTCCCAAACTCATTCTATGAGGCCAACATCACTCTAATATGAAAACAAGGCAAAGACAACACAAAAAAAGAAAATTTCAGACCAATACCCTGATGAACATAGATGCAAAAATAGTCAACAAAATATTAGCATGCCAAATTCAAAAATACATCAAAAAGATCATCCATCATGATCAACTAAAATTCATCCCAGGGATGCAAGGATGGCACAGCATTCAAAAATGCATCAACATTATCCACCACATCAACAAAAAGGACAAAAACCACATGGTCATCTCCATAGATGCTGAAAAAGCATTTGACAAAATTCAACATCCATTCATGATAAAAACTCTCAACAAAATGGGTATAGAGGGCAAGGACCTCAACATAATAAAGGTCATATATAACAAACCCATAGCCAACATTATACTTAACAGCAAGAAGCTGAAAGCTTTTCGTTTAAGATTGGGAACAAGACAAGGATGCCCACTCTACCCACTTTTAATCAACAATAGTTCTGGAGGTTCTAGCCACAGCAATCAGACAACACAAAGAAATAAAAGGCATCCAGATTGGCAAGAAAGACGTCAAACTGTCCCTGTTTGCAGATTACATGATATTGTACATAAAAAACCCTAAAGAATCCACTCCAAAACTACTAAATCTAGTATATGAATTCAGCAAAGTTGTGGGATACAAAATTAACACACAGAAATCTGCTGCATTCCTATACCCTAACAATGAACCAGCAGAAAGAGAAATCAAGAAAACAATTAATTCCATTCACAACTGCATCAAAAAGATAAAATACTTGGAATAAACCTAACCAAGGAAGTGAAAGACCTATACTCTGAAAACTACAAGACACTCATGAGAGAAAGAAGATACCAATAAATGGAAACACATCCCGTGCTCATGGATAGGAAGAATTAATATTGTCAAAATGGCCATCCAGCCTGAAGCAATCTACAGATTCAATGCAATCCCTATCAAAATACCAACAGCATTCTTCAACAAACTAGCGCAAAGAGTTCTAAAGTTCATATGGAACCACAAAAGACCCTGAATTGCCAAAGCAATCCTGAGAAGGAAGAATAAAGCCTGACTTCAAGCTCTACTACAAAGCCACAGTAATCAAGACAATTTAGTACTGGCACAAGAACCAACCCATAGACCAGTGGAACAGAACAGAAAGTCCAGATATTAACCCAAGCATATATGGTTAATTAATATACTATAAAGGAGCCATGGATATACAATGGGGAAATGACAGCCTCTTCAAGAGCTGGTGTTGGCAAAACTGGACAGCTACCTGTAAGATAATGAAACTGGATTATTGTCTTCTAACCTCATACACAAAAGTACACTCAAAATGGATCAAAAACCTGAATGTAAGTCATGAAACCATAAAACTCTTAGAAGACAACATAGGCAAAAATCTCTTGAATATAAACATGAGCAACTTTTTCCTGAACGCATCTCCTTGGGAAGGGAAACAAAATAAAACATGAACAAATGGGACATAATGTTTAAAAGCTTCTCTACAGCAAAGGACACTATCAGCAGAACAAAAAGGCCTCCTACAGTATGGGAAAATATATTTGTAAATGACATATCTGATAAGGGGTTAACATCCAAAATATATAAAGAACTCATACTCCTCAACACCCAAAAAGCAAATAACCCTATTAAAAAATGGGTGGAGGATATGAACAGACAATTCTCCAAAGAAATTCAGATGGCCAACAGACACATGAAAAGATGCTCCACATGCTAATTATCAGGGAAATGCAAATTAAAACCACAATGAGATATCATCTCCTACCAGTTAGGATGGCCAACATAGAAAAGAATAGGAGCAACAAATGCTGGCAAAGATGTGGAGAAAGAGGAACCCTCCTACACTGCTGGTGGGAATGTAAACTAGTTCAAGCATTGTGGAAAGTAATATGTAGGTTCCTCAAAAAACTCAAAATAGAAATACCATTTGACTCACGAATTCCACTCCTAGGAATTTACCCTAAGAATGCAGCAGCCCAATTTCAAAAAGATGTGCTCCCCTATGTTTATTGCAGCACTATTTACAATAGCCAAGAAATGGAAGCAACCTAAGTGTCCACCAGTAGATGAATGGATAAAGAATAAGTGGTACATATACACAATGGAGTATTATTTAGCCATAAGAAGAAAACAAATTCTGCCATTTGCAACAACATGGATGGAGCTAGAGGGTATTATGTTCAGTGAAATAAGCCAGGCAGAGAAAGACAAGTACCAAATAATTTGAATCATATGTGGAGCATAAGAACAAAGCAAAAACTGAAGGAACAAAACAGCAGCAGACTCACAGAACCCAAGAATGGACTAACAGTTGTCAAAGGGAAAGGGACTGAGGGAGGTGCAGTGGGAAGGGTGGGCGAAGGGGAATAAAGGACATTATGATTAATTCACATAAAGTAGCGGAGGGCATGGTGAAGGCACTATAGCACAGAGAAGACAAGTAGTGACTCTATAGCATCTTAGTACGCTGATGGACAGTGACTGTAATGGGGTATGTGGTGGGGACTTGATAATGGGGGGAATCTAGTAATCACAGTGTTGCTCATGTAATTGTATATTAAATAATACCAAAGTAAATAAAATAAAAAGCTTTGGAAGTGGAAAGCAAATTATGTAGTGTAAGGCATCATTATTTAGTTTATCTCTCTAACCATGCATGCCTGAAAACCAACTTGGCTACTCAGTCTTTAGTTTTGTACTTCTCAAATTTTAGTATTTGTAAGACTGACAAAGGCTGCTCACTAAACTCAGACTCCCAAGTTCCATGTCCAGAGATTTCTTCCACAGACCTGAGCAGGGTCCAGGAATCAGAATTCAAAGTGATTCTTAATCAGGTCATCTGGGAGCAACAGTTTGAGAAATACTTAATGTTTCACAAGATCCACTTAAAAGATTAAAAAGAACTTTTTACATAACAGTACATGCTGTAAAATAATTAAAGCAGTACTTTAATACATAAAATAGAAAATGTCCTCTACTGAGCACCTAATCTCTTACCCAAAGATAACTTTTGATAATTTAGCTTTCCAGAATTGAATTTTTCTATGCATATACAGACATATATATTGGTTAAGTATGACAAGCATTTGATGTTATTTCAAATTTTTTTTGCTATTAAAAATAATGCTGTGATAAATGTCCTTTTTCACATGCCTTTAAGCAACTCTATCTGTAGGAGATTCCTAGTTTACACACGATGACAGCTTGCCTACTGGTCTGATTTTACTTTGCACTTTTCTAGTGGTGGTGGGAGACTTTCTGTGCTTAATTGTTGAATGACCCGTCATTTGACATTTTTATCAAGGCCCAACGTTCCGAACAAAAGTTTTAAAAAAGTAGACATATTTATCGTTCTTTCTGTGCAGACTGGGCTAATTGTGCTACAAGAGGTGAGTTTGGGGGAGCCTGTGCGGGTTGCCCCCGTTCTCCGAGGAACCGGCAACCTGGGCGAGGGCAGGGGAGCGCTCGTAGCGGCTTCAGCCCCAGGAGAACTGACGGCGAAAGGAAAACGGGAGCCAAGAGCACCCGAGTCCTGCCCTCGTCTCCCTGGAGCCGCGACTTCGCGCGGAACTCAGCAGCCCCTAGGACCGTGGTCCAGCCGCCGCCGCTGTTCCCACCGCACTCCCGCGTCACCCTCAGTCGGCTTCTCCAACTCCCATTCAGTTCGACGTTCCTCGGTTCCCTAGTCCGTAGCTCAGAGCAGCAGAGTAACACAGCGCGAAGTTTAAGGACCGCAGCCCCTGCAAGCTTGCAGGTGTGGCGCCACGCCAGCCTGCGGCGCTGAGCAACCGGCGGCAGCCTTCCTCTTCTTGTCCGCCCTTTCCGCTTGCTGTTCGCTTCCGTTTCCGGTTCCGGCGCCCGGCGCTGCGGGAAAGAGCTGTGCATTGTGGGAGTCCCTTCTTTTCTTGCTCCCCAGCCATCTTTCCACTTGTGTTCGGTCAGTGGGCTCCGCGGGGTGGAGGTTTAGGCGTCACTGAGAGCCTAGTGGGTTGCCGTGTGGAGCTCGGGATCCTGACCATAATCTTCTGTCCTCTGTGTGTTGCAGGCTGGGAGCTGCCCCGCACCTAAGGCAGGAAGATGGTGGCCGCAAAGAAGACGGTGAGTGAGGCGGAACAGGCCTGAAACTGGTTCACGTGGGGAGATGAGTCTCGGCCGGCGGGCAGATCCGCGCGCACTGGGATCACAAGGAGAGGCCCTCTCAATGACTTGGGAACCTTGACTTAGGGGGTTTTAGTAAGGGGCCTGGCTTCCAGAAAACGGGGTCCCGTTTTGTGGTTACAAACAAGGCCTTCAGGTACGTGTTTCATGTTTGCTTTGTAGAAAAAGTCGCTGGAGTCCATCAACTCCAGGCTCCAGCTCGTTATGAAAAGTGGGAAATACGTGTTGGGATACAAGCAGACTCTGAAAATGATAAGACAAGGCAAAGCGAAACTGGTCATCCTCGCCAACAACTGCCCGGCCTTGAGGTAATGGAAGGAGCCTGATTCTCTGCGTCGCTCACTGCAGGTTCATCGTGAGCGAGTATCCGGGAGTGTAAACTTGCAATGTGGGTAGCATGAACTCGGTTTTATATAGTTTGTTTTACAAGCGAACACTTTTCAAATGATTTAGGGGTGCTGCGGACCCCCCCCCCCAAATCGTGTCTCACCTGTTGTAAGCCTGTCATTGGGAGAACTGTGACAGAAGGGGTGTTACAGCCGTAGAACGTCAAGGTTTGAGGGAAGCACACACAATTTGCTTTTATGTGTGTTTTCTATCTTTCCTTTTTGGTCATAATTTTAACTTAAGACACATTTTAAAAGTACTTCATTATATGAACTTGCTTTAGTGTAGTAAAGCTAGGATAAGAAAAGTTGAGGCTGGCTATGTTTCACCCAATTTTTGATTGACTGTATTTTGAAATTGAACTTGGTATTGTAAATGTTAGACTCAGATTGTGCAGAATATAAGCCACATGATTAGAGCAACCTGATGGTGTTGATTTTCCTGTAGTAATGCATAAATTGCTCAAAATGCTTTATAAACGGTGGCTGTACATAATTTTAAAAGCCTGGCGTGCTCTCTGATCTACCTCATTCTATAGTTTTGTTTTATTACCCTTTCTTTCATGCTTACCTTCCGTAACAGTGCTTTTCAAAAGTGAATGTGCACACAATCACCAGGGATCTTGCTAAAATGCAGGTTCTGATTTAATGGGTACCTGAGATGATGTGTTTTTAACAAGCATAACTATAACTGGTCTGTTGATCCATTCTTTGGATAGTGGCAAGATTCTGTTGGGACTCTTCAAATTCATAAAGCCATTAATACCTACCTACTCAGTTGACACAAATGTTAACTCTGGGTCAGTATTATTCACCATTCAGAGCACCAGAGGATGATACGGCTTTTGAAAATAACATTGTTCAGATTCTGGATTCCCTGTTTATTCTGTGCCTCAATTTCTTCATAAGTTAAAAAAACTGGAGTATATGATACTTTAGAGGTTATCTTGTGTATTTATGTAAAGTGTCTTGTATGTAGTAAATAATGCTTTTATTTTGCATCCTACATTTTCCATGGGCATAGATACTGTCTTAAATATACTAGGTATTTAGTAGGTATTTACTGGTAGACCCATCTCATACGGGGTTGAGGAAAGGATGATTTGTATTGGTTAATGGATATGCTAATATGTTTTTAAGAGTTATAACTGGTTTAGTTTGAAGGCCTTACCAACAGGAAAACTATGAAAGAAGTAGTAATACTTAATCTGTCATAGTTGGTATGGCATTTATTTGCCTTTTTCTGGTTCCCAAAGGAAATCTGAAATAGAGTACTATGCTATGTTGGCCAAAACTGGTGTCCATCACTACAGTGGCCATAACATTGAATTGGGCACAGCATGTGGAAAATACTACAGAGTATGCACATTGGCTATCATTGATCCAGGTATGCTTTTTAAATCATAACATTTTTCCTTTATAATGTGATACAAGTACTCCTTGCTACATAAATATGTTTGGTCCCTGAGTTCAGATAGTGAGAATTTGGGTATAGCAAGGGATCTCCTATAGTTTCATTTCACCAGGAATTGATAATGAATGTTAGTATATTATAATTGGCTTTGTTAAAAATGAAATTTTTTGTTTAAAGTACCTAAGAAATAGTTACTTAGGGCATTGGTAAAAAGTGAAATTATAATGAGAGAATAATCTGGGGAAATAATAGAAGAAAGGAATCCTTACCAGCTGCCTGAGAATAGACAGGTAAAATTAGGTTGAGAAAAAGAAGTGCCTACAAATATACATCATACTGTTTTGAACTCATGAATTTTTAATTAATTCATAAAATACTGCGAATATTCTCGCTGTTCTGATTTTGTAATAATCAGGGCAGGCTAAACATTCGCTATATTAAGACCATGCATGTGTCCCCAGACCTAGTTCTTTACCTAGGTCTGGTTTATAAATGCTGGTAATAAACTAAGTCTCATTTAAATTATGCATTTTACATGGAGAATGTGTCTAGGTATCTGATCAACCTAGAGAAATGAATAGGATACTAGTAATAACTTTGGAAGATAACCACTACTAATTTGATGATTTCCAGATGGCAGTAAAATGAATTGTAAAACTGTTTTGTTTTATTTTCTAGGTGATTCTGATATCATTAGAAGCATGCCAGAGCAGACTGGTGAAAAGTAAATATCAAAATTTTCCTTTAATAAAACTGGCCAGAGCTTGTTTTAAAAACAGTGTTCATGTATTTTCTTTCTGTTTTTTTGTTTGAGTACACTTTGTTGAAGGTAGGATTCGAGAGGATGTGGCAGCTAGATTTGGTAGCAAGACTTCTGGGTTAAGAGCTATACATCCCAGTTTCTGTTTTTCTGTTTTTTGTAAAGAGAGTCTGCTGAGTTCCTTTCCTGCTCCAGATTTTCTTAATTGTAATCTCAAGATGATGTTAGCATTTCACATTTGAATGTGTTTGAGACGCAGCAAGGTTTAATACCCAGAATTTAACCATAGTTGCATTTTATAGTCCAGTTTAAATCTGCCGAATCTGAATAGCAAAGAGAATTAAGTGAAATACATTGCTTCTCCCCAAAATTTTGTCACAGGCTGAGAAAAGTTCTATTGAACTTTTAATGAACTGATCTCCTAAGAGTATGCATTGGTTGGGGTAGGATAAATGAATGTATTTGGAAGACTTCAGAATAATCCCAGATCTTCAGTAAGTTAAATTCACAGTTGCCCAAAGTGTGTTTTATATTATTTCAGTCCTAAAAGATAATAACATGTTTGGGGTTCAGATTTTGGGGAAACAATACTACATCTCCCAGGTATGTTCTATGGAATCCTTTTCCCACACCTGTTAATATCCTTTGGAATATTTCAAAGGAATTAACTTGGGAGAAAATACTGATTGAGATGTATCTTGATTTATAGTGGAATGTTACTGGTAGGGTGGTATACCCTAGATAGTCTGTAGAAACTCTAAGGCTACAGAAGACAATGTCTTTGGGACTTAAGAATCAATTTGGAAGAATTTTTTGTTGGTAGATGAGAGACATAGGAGATGAGGGTGCCTTTAATACACTGTCCATATTTTCTATGGATTTATTTAATGCACAGTAAGTCAAGTATTCACTGAACTTGAAGTCAGAAGACTACTTTTTAATATCTATATAACCGTGGGTGGGTCAAATTTCCAGTTTCACGGGTGAGGGAATTAGTTACCTTTCAAGTTAACATTACCTGGCTTTAGTTTGAAGTTACTGAGGTGGTAGATATAGTTTAGAGAGTAGTTGTTACTGAGTTTTCATACTAGTTCAGTTACTCAGTATTTCTCAATTTGGGGGCACCATTGATATTTTTGGTGGGGCAATCTTTTGTGGAAGGCTCTGGGACTGCAGGATATTCTCACTCTTCTTTCCATGTCATTGTTAACACTCCCAGATGTCACCCCACCTTTTCAAAGTAGCATCTGGCAAAGAGCCACAGAGCTCTATGAAAATCAGTAAATACCTTAAGTTGCTCATATTTGCAAATCAAAGATGTGTGACTAAGGTAGTTTAAAAGGCTTGAAATTTTTTTCCTTGATAAGAATTGTTTTTGTCAGACTACTGCTGGTCTCTAGTGCTTTAAGTTTGTTTTCATAGTTCAACATGTTTCAGTCTTGGATAAAGAAGTTTCTGTGCTTTGTTTCCCCTTGGTCATCAATTTCTTCTTTCAAATTGACCTTTCATGCTATTTAGGTTTTTTTAGATGCTTTTTCTCTCCAGGCTGACTAGTTCCAGTTTAATTTCTTATGAGGTGGTACCTCACAAATACAGTATTACATACAGGTATCAGTGTACCATTTCTTTGTAATGGTTCTCTTGCATGACTTCAGCTGCAGGCATTTTGGAATGATGGTTTTTAGAAAACAACAACTGGTTTCTGCGGCCTTCTAGGTAGTGATAATATGCTGTAAGATCATTTGGCTGTTGTCTTTTATTTGTGGTTTTGTGCACTCACCATTGTCAGCAAGAAAAGGGTTTGAAGCTAAATAGGGAACATAACTCATTCTGGCCTGAACCGGCTGCTATGTGCCGTTAAAGTGCTGCCAGAATTGGAGAAAATACCACTAACCAAGAACTCAGAAGGTCTAAAATTGAATTTTTCAATGTTCTTTTCTCATTATAATGAAAGTAATATGCTTGCCTGGGAGCTCTAATAGACAGGGCACTGCAGGAAATTCCAGCCAACTGGACTTAATTCCATACCTATACTGAACTGCCTATTAGGCCTGGAGGTATGGTATGGTGACAGGAGCAAAAGATTAGTATAGAGAAGAAACCAAACTTTGGCTGGCTGTAAATACCATCATTTGGGCCTCTGGTAGATGGTCAGCTGGTTCATGGAAAAAAATTTTCTTTGATCTCTTTCAGCACTTATTTCCAGCTGCCTCTTAGACTTGTGTTCCCAGGCCAATAGTGACATCTGGTTTTCCTTCCCCCTTCCTGTCCCAGTCTACTCAAAACCGTCATTCTGTGTAGACTGGTAGCCTCTGAGTTACCAAGGAATCCTGTGTTACTGGCATTAATCACATCTGCCTCCACTAAATTGAGGTCTTAACTGGAGAGGGACCTAGCGTTTCAACTTTACATCATTTACTAGGTGACTAGCACATTTGATAGAGTTTGAACAACCAGAGTATATGACTTTCAGGGCTTAAGGATTTATTTCTCACTGTTAAGTTTGTGGCTTTATAGGCCAGAATTTCATCTTCATCTTGTTGACTGTAGGTCTTGATCATCTTGTACATTTACTATTGTTTAATTTGCTGCTCCTACCTACTTGCTTCAAAAGAAAATTTAGGAGTGGTAGTCTGCTAATGTACTTTTCCTCAGTAAGTACAGAATTGATTTGTTGACTCAGCTGACACTTGAAGCATATCAAATATTTGGCTGCTGAAGAATAAAAACAATAGCTAATATTGAGCATTTAAAATGTGTTACATACTTTACTAAGTAATGTACATGTTACCCACTTAACCCTCCTGACATCCCAATGAGATAATATTTAGTGCCATTCGACCTGAGGAAATTAAGACCTGGAAGGGTCACACCCATAATGAAACTAGAATGCAAACCTTTTACACCTGAGATACACAGAGCCAAAGAAACTGTATTTAAAATTTTAGACAATCTTAAAGATAAGTATCTTGGATTAATATGCAAATTTGATGGATTGGTCAGAGGACTTATGTTGTTGCCCACTAAGGTATTTTCCTCCCCCAGTTGGAGAAAGTTGAAACCTTACCATGAAATGTATTCACTAGTTCAAAAGGGTTTGGGTGGGTGGGGGACACTCTAGAACCACTAGAGGGAGCCAGGAGTCAACAGAAAATGAAGTACAATTGAGAACTGGAGGCAGTGCCTGAACTAATTACATCTCAGAAATGCCCTGCCAACCCAAATCAGTACTTCCTAATGAAAACCTGTTTTCAGGATCTGGATGACTCAAATACAAACCGAAGATTTTGATACTTTGAATCGCAACTTTTATACTTTGAAAGAATTAGATCATTTTCAGGTAAGATTGAGGCCTAGCTGTTCTTCCCATTCTACACACTGCCTTTGGGGAGGGCATTCTGATGGAAAATACAAGCTTATTCAAGGTGTCTTGTTTGTAAAGTATCATTTGGCCTCCAAAATACAGTAGCTTTCATGGGAAGGATGTGATTTGGGGGTTCTTCATTTCTTAATGAAGGTGCCATCTGCAGTGTTTGTTGCTGCTCAGTACTTGAAACTGATGAAGTGTCCTTTGACCCTGTCCCTATTCCTACTTCCTTATCTTCCCCTGGGACAACCCCTATTGTGTGTATCCTTGCAGAACATTTTTTGTATTTAGTTATGTATATGAACAACTAGTAATGTTCCTGGTTTTTTAATTTACAGAAATGGTATGCTAATCATACTGTGCAGTTGACTTCTAAAATTCATCTTTGCTTCTAAGTTTTACCAGGTATACATATAGCTCTAGTGCATTGCTTTTAAATGTATTCCTGAAGTACGGACTATTCCATAATCAGTTCTTTCTGATGATGATCATTTCTAATTTGTTTATAAACTCTAGTAACATCTTGTACAGGTGTCCTTGTGTATATGTGCTAAAGTCATCTAGTTAGATACCTGTAAGTGCAGTTACTGGAGTACAAGGTTGTGTGCATTTCCATTCTGGTAGGTACTGACAGATTATTCTCGAGAGAGACTGCATTTGCATTTTCACTAGCAGTGTACTAGAACCCCATATTTTTATATCCTTAATCAACCCTATAGTGAGACATACTAGGTGTAGCCAAGCTGATTGTTTTAACATGGATTTCCTGTGACATTCAATCATTTTTTCATACTCATATTGGCCATTTCTTAAATATACATACCTTGCATTAAAGTAAAACTAGGAATTTTACACACAACCCCGTTCTCTGAAGTGGTGAATTTTAATATTGTATTAAAAAATCCAACTTTTTATACAGGTACATATTTTCTATGATTTTTTTTGCCATACATCCATATACATTTATCCAGATAGGATCCAATACAAAAAAAATAGCTTTTCCTGTGGCCAGTGTTCTACAGAATTAAGACTGCAAACTATTTTGTAGTCAGATGAGGGCGCAGTACTATAAGGCAGGAGGAGGCAAAGGCAAGTCATGTCCATAGTATGTTACAGGATATCTTGCATAGCTTATTTGTTCTCACTTGGTAAACTCATTTTAGGATTCTGAAGGATTTTTTTCCTCTAAATTTGTACGAGTTAGTGACTACTTTCTGCCTTTGTTCTATAGCAAACCAGCTTTCTCAACACTAGTTATGTTTTACTTTAGAACCTTACAGAATTAACAAAGCCTGAGTTTTGGGGCTCTGAGCTGCTTTCATTGTAATCTTTGATACAATAACATACAAATATGTATAGAGCATTTCGGATCTTCATCTGTATCTCAGGCGGTTTTCCAGGGCTTCCATTCGCTGTGTCATTTCTTCTAGTAAATCTCAAATTAAGGAAGAATCTGAATTGTCTATTTTTATTTACATGCAAATACAACTTGGTTTATCTACATAAAAATTTGTCCTGAAAAATACAAGTCTTTTTTTCCATTTCTATTAAATATTTTAAAATCCTGACTTGTATGTTTATACTAACTCATTTAACACGTGCTGTCAAGACTACAGATCTTTTTCAGGTTAAGTACTTTTTTAATGTCAAAGCCAGATAGTTCACTTAAAATTCTTCTTTTTTTAAAATTGTAAATGCTACTCTCACCCTGTTGCTTGTAAATTAGCTTGCCATAACACACCTCTTAGAGCCAGAACTGATAATGTTGGGAATGTGGGATTAGGCCTTGGAACGTAAAATATGACTTCAGAACAGAAGAGATATTGGTGAGTTTTCACCCATGTTGCTAGATACGTCCAAAAGGTAGCAGCCTTGAAGACTTCAGACGTGTGCTCTTTCATATATAACTTCCTCAGTGTCTTGTGAAGTAAAAGTGTGCGAAAAGGGAGAGGTGAGGGGCATAAGAATAAGCTTTTATCATTTTCCTTGTCTGCTTCTAAATGCTCTCTACCTGCCCCTTTGGCAGAATTACAGCCCAGATTCATCATCTGTATTAACCACTGTCAGATTATTCTGCTTAGGAGAGCATAATTCTGGCTTTCAGAAATGGAATTACTGTATGTTCTTTATATTTACATAAGCCCATTGCCACAGAGGGTGTTCAGAATTCCCTATAGACCAGTTGATAGGCATGTTGAGATAGATACCAACTGGCTTTAGTAAGCTTACTGTAATTTAAAGTTCAGAAAATTTGGTGGTGTAAAAGCACTGAATCCTTATTTTCCCATTATCCCAAAGCATTCCTTTTATTTGAAATATTGTTTTAATGAGTCATGGGATCTTGCTGTTCCCGCGCAGAATGTTTCATCTTAAAGTGCTGATCTACAAAAGATCTCTGCTGCCAAAAATCAAACCAAAAAAAGCCCAGTCTTCTAGAAGCTACACATTGACCGAAAGTGGCTGGGGTGTAGCTTGGGGCTTAAGGAAAGGTTTAGAGTTCAGATAGAGTTTGAAACCTCTTCGTTCTACAACATTCTTTGTGTATACTTACTGGACCATGAAGTTCAGACCTGTGTCTACCCTCCTCTTCCTCCCAGCAGAGAGGGACTTAAATGTCTGTTTTTTATTTACTTTGCCTACTGACTAGCTGCCCAGCCTTACTGTTAAGACCCCTAGAACAGGAGGTGGCACCTAAGGAGCTTGGCCCTTGCCATTACGTTTGGCTTGCACTTAGCTCCCAAATACCTGTCAGTCTGCTTAAGAAAATAGCTTTTCCTGGAGTTCACTATTCTTGAATATAGGAAATAGCTTCATTTGATAGATACTCACACATAGTATTTGTGAAGTTTTAATAAAATTCTGTTCCATACAGAGCTATAATACTAGAAAAGGATATAGCGTTGCGTTAATTTTCTTACTTCTTCATTTGCAAGGTTCTGGAACATTATAAGGTTTTCACATTTGCATTGATCTTGTTTTTCTTCCAAAATACTTCCTGAGAAAGCAGATGGAAAGTGTTCACCTCTATAACCCACCAAACCTCCCAGATGCATAATAGGACTGAATCGGTATGTGGAAGAAACCGTAATGAAAGAAATGTTCAAACTTTCCCATGCAGCCGATCCAGTAAATGCCAGGAAGGGACAGTATATACTTACAACATTGGAAGTGGCCTTTATTGTGGATTGCAGATAAAAGACTGCTCCAATTTCTTTTCTTTTTTTTAGTTCTCATTTTACCTAAGTCCTTCTCTTTTCCCCTATCTTCTCTCCTACTTCCTCCATTCCTTTCCTCCTTTAAGCTGAGTTTGTTGGCAAGCTGACAGGCTGGTATCAAGTTACCTTAGAGTAATATTTCACTTAGAATTACCTGAAGATTTTGTCGAATGGGAAAGTTTTTGTGTGGACCGTGAAAGACTGTCTTCTTCAAAGAGATACCTGTGTTGCACTGCAAAATTAGAACAGGAAAGTAGGTCTCGGATATTTATGGTGACTGGCTCAGATTCTGTAAAGAGAAAGAAAACTGAAGTCAAACCTGCTTGACATGGGTGCAGTTATAAAACAGTCTTTAGCTGTCAGTAAGGCACTTGGTATTCCTAGCATGTGGTACAATGCTTTACTTTGGGGCATACTGTGCAAAAAGACTGTCCAGCAGAGACATTATCAAATAATGGCTTAAAGAGTAGAGTCACTATTTCCTATGTGATAGAGGGAAAATACCATAGGTAACATAATTCAGATCTTACTTTGACTTCACAGCTTTTGTCTGGGGGAAAACCACGGGGGAAGCATCCACCAAAGGTTCTAGAAACACTGCTTTTAAATATACCTGTTGGCTGGTGGGTCCTCTTTGGCATTTCCCCTGCTGGGGAGTCTTGACTTCCATCAGAGTCTTCCAGAGCTGGGAGGAAAAAGATGACCAAAAGGAGTGACAATTGTCTGCGTGCATGCATGTGTTCTTTAGGAAACGTCCTGGACCAGCTCCTTACCTACCTGCTGAGACCCAGGGTACTTCGGTTTTATTTGGTAACACCACAGATTCAAAAAGCAATTGCTAATGATAATCCAAGAGCACTCGAGGGCAGTTCTCTAGTAAGAGGAACCTGGTCCCCTTAAGTGCGTCTTACCTAGGAATGTCCCCCAAAATGTCCTGTCTAGAAGGTAGGGTGGGAAAAAAATTAGTTGTCCAAGGATCAAGTTGCATGGCAACAGCTCTACTTGAGGCAGTTCAACTTGAATGAAAGCACCTCAAGGCCAAACATAATCTACTCACGTTAGAAATCTGAAAGGCTTTCCCTCCCTGGTCCCTCCTCACCTCACTGTTCTTTCCTCTAGAGGAGGAAGACACATTATATACACTGAGATTTTATTGGTGACTGAAGCTGGGACACCAGTAAAAGGGGAAATAGAACTGCTGTATGTAAGCAGAGCTGGCACAAGCAGTGAACTGGCAAAAAGCACAGAGAGCTCCTGGGCATAACAAAACCTGAACTCTGAAGGGCAGTCTAATGCTCTGTAAATAGGAAGGCATTCTTTAAATATTCAACAGTGGGCTTGAAAGGACTCCCATCCCTTCCCACTCCAATTACAGGCATATCCTGAGATTGCACAGGAGCTCTCCTGATTGATATAATGGTTGTTTCTTAGTTAAATGAGCATTTCTATAGGGTTTTTGTGATGATGAAGTATGCTGGTGGATCAAAATACCCATCACACTGTGCTGGGCACACTGCAAGCATTCAAGCAGTGTTAGCTGGTACTCTTGTCTTCTCGCTCCCCTGTTTTGCACAGGCCCTGGCACACCCAGGGAGATACTTTTTTGAGTACTTTGAAGAAGTGGGTTGAGAATTTCTCATTCAGAGTTCGTGCCACCCTGCGTGCTGAGCTCTCTACATCAGCGACAGTACCTTCACATATGCCTTTCTTTAGCTTGTCACTTATCTCGCCCATTGTGCTGAAGTCTTCAGCATAGAAGAGGTGCTTGTCTGTGGGCTCAGAGGCAATCTCCTGCAGTTCCTCCTCAATGGCTTTTCCTACTCCAACAGCATACATAGTTATTCCTAAGGTACAGAGCAAATTAAGAACAAGGTAGTTAAGAGTGTGTTCCCAGTCTGGAAGTTGTGTGTACTTTACCCAACACCAGCTAGATGTTAAGTGGTGTGATCTGAAGGTTCCATGTCAACTTTCCTTTATTTTTCCATTTTTATTTTGGCTCTATGAACCCAGAGAAGGATCCAGAGAGAGGAGGCATCTAGGAGAGGCTGAGTAGCTAGTCTTCCAGCCTGTTGCTCAGTTCTGGGTAAGATCATTTAACAAATCTTCCGCTTTGGCCTCAGTTAGCCTTGTGGATAAAGTAGAAATAAGTACTAGTTTATGGCTTACTAAATGGAATCTCTTCTGGGGGTATCCTAAGAAGCAGGTCAATTTATGACCTTATAACCTAGTTTCTACTTGTCAAAGGTACAGGATGGGAACCTTAAGGGACCTGGGGCCAGGGCAACTGCATTCTGCCCACCCCTCTTGGGAGAACAAAGACTGTGAGGAGGTGCTAAGCTGAAAAGGAGAAACCGCAGACCATTGGAAATCCCCAAAGCCAGAAACAGATCAAACCCAAGAAATCAACCTTAGATTTCCACAGGATATGAGATTGCTCCAAAAGCTTTTCTAAGCAAACTTAATCGTCTTCCCCCACATACGCTTCATCTGAAAGTAAAACACAGTAAGAACTTAAGTTCTGCTTGCTTTTTGACATTTTTTCAGCACTGATATCTTATTCTGGCTCATTCATTAGGCTATATATTTTAAAAATACATATGAAAATGGCTCTTAAAGCCAAGGGGCAAGAGTTATGCTTTGTACTAAGTCTGTGTAAAGTCAGTCGCCAAGTTCAGCATATTTGTTTGGAAGCCCAGTGCCTTTCTGCACAGTTTCCTAAAAAGGATAACTACAATTTTAAGAGTGTGTTAGCTATGCGTAGGAGTAATTCATTAGAAGATGTTTCTTCAGATAAATCTTGTTGCTTCAAGAATCAAATACAAATATGTTTTCCCTACCACCTGCCTTTGGGTGACCTGTGGAAATTTGAGTGGGGGGAAGAAGAGTAGGGTAGCTGGTCTCAATGAGACCAGTAGAAGGGCTCTCTACTGTCTTTGGAGACAAGATGCTTCCCTCAATACTTCAAAAATGCAGGCTAGAGGTGTCTGGGTTTGACTGAGCTCTAGCAAGCTAGTCTAGAAGCAGAGGAACTGGGTATGAACAGACAGTTTTATAATCTACCCAGATGATTCAGGGCAGGACACTTTTTTACTACTCTACTGAGCTAGGGAAAAAGCCACACTTCAGGTCTATACACAACTGAAGTACCTCAAATCTCCCCCTGCGTTATATGTGAGGTCAGGAAAATCTCAGAGAAGAGGCTGGGCTTTATTGAACAACGTGAGCTTAGAGTCATTATCTCTTCCAACATACTAATTTCCTCAAACATGCACTTTTGCCTCCTGCAAGCACGAGAGTATTTGCTCGTTTAAGGCTGTGTGCTTTCAGAGTATTCACTTGAAGCATTAGTTTTAGGAAAAACGTACAAGTAAAAGTTCTCCCATCAGGAATATATTTTTACCAAACTCTTCAGGTGATTCAAAAGCTGAACAGTGTTTGGGAGCTGTTAGGTATTTATCTGTGGTTAAACAGCATGTGCTGGGTTGACTCACTCCGCTGGAGGTTACACATTGGCTAGAAAATTGTAGGGGATCATTACTCTGGTGTAGTCTGTGTCTATTTCAATCACCCAGTCAGCGAGACTTTCCCATCCTTCCTGAGTCCTTCAACTCCTGGGGGTCCCTTTAAGGCCTCTAGGTGGCAGTTTTGTAAAGGTGGATAACAGCAGATGGCAGGAAGCCTTTTTCTAGGCTCTGACCAATCTCCCTCCTGTGTCCACCAGGGGAGGGTAAGAAACCTGAACCTTGAGTGGTGTCAGCCACACCTCCATCCCATATTACCATTGGCCTTGGCTTTGTCAGCCCACTCGGACACGTCATCCTGAGCCCGCCCGTCTGTGAACACGATGGCCACTCTGGGCACCCGTGTGGAGAGAGGCCTGGCCCCTTCTGCTTGGGTAAAACTTCTTTCAAACATGTGTTTGAGGGCCAGTCCGGTCATAGAGCCCTTGCCCATGTATTTCATGTGGACCACGGCCTTTTTCATGTCTTTGGCGGAGATGAAGCTCCTCAGGGTAAACTCTGTGCGGACCTGCGTGGAATACTGGAGCAGCCCCACTCGAGCGGCTTTGGGGGAAATTGCCAAGGAATCTATAATTCCACTGACAAACTGCTTCACTATCTCAAAATTCTCTTCTCCAAGGCTCTTGGATCCATCGATCACAAAGACCAGGTCAATTGGACCTTCAGTGCATCCTACAGAACAGAAGGAAAGTTGAGATAGTTAAATGACAAAAAATAATTAATGTATAAGTTAGGAGAAAATAATGCTTCATTTGGAGGCTTAACCAGTTTGGAGAACCACTTTTGTTCTTTAGATAATACATACAGGCCAGACAGAATGTTGGGAGAGTGATAAGCAACAGTAATTTTCACACTTGGTTTTACATGTCAGACTGATTAAGTTGATTGTCAAATTGATTCAAGTATTTTTCACAGGCGAAACACACAGCAGAGGCACAGACCTTCTAGGAAACCAGGTCTTCACTGTGCCATGGGTCATGACAGCCAGGTCTGGGAGGGACTGCGTGTAGAGCACACTGAAGGGTCTGACAGCAACCCCTCACGCCAGGAGGGTGACATCACCTCACTGCTGCTATTCTGACAGACACTGGAGAAAAGCAGTCTTAAAATTCAGCTCAGCCCTCACCTCTTCCAGGGAGCCTTCCTAGTAACCCAGCTTGAATTAGTTACTCTCTGCATACTCCTAACACTACTAATTCATTCAACAAAAACTTGCTGATTCAGCTCCTGCTTCATGCAAGACAGGCACAGCAGGATGGACATAGTGAGCAAGGCAGAATCACTGACACTGAGCTGCTTTTCGTACTGTACACTCTAGGCAGGACTCCACACCGTAAGATGGCTATTTGACTATGTGTCGGGCTCCTCTGCTCTTCTAGTTCCTCAAGGACCATGTCTCACTCATTTCTGTACCCCCAGTTCCTGGCACACAATAGCTGTTCAATAAATGCTTGTTTAAAGGATAAATGAAAGAGATGGTGTTCCATTGGGTAGGCCTCTAAGTACTTACTAAAGATTAAAAATGAATTTTCACTGAATTCTTATCTACATGGAAGCTTTTCAGGAAACTCAGCTGGTTGACAGTACAAGCTTTATGCAAATACTTAAGCAATCTGTGTATGGAGAGATTTTTTGTTGTTATTTAGGGCCTCATCAGAAAAATTTACAGATCCCAAATGGATGATCTCATTTCAGTCTACAGTGTTTGATATAACATTGTCTTTTTTCTGTGATATATCAAACAGCTGTCTTCTCTAAACACAATATAAGCAAGTAAAGACATACACAAGCATATTTCTGTGCCTAGCCTGAGTAACTTGCTAGTGTGTGTGTGTGTGTGTGTGTGTGTGTGTGT